AAAATGAGTCTCTTGTAGGCAGCATATCCATTCTGTTATTTTAATCCGTTCTGACACCCTATGTTTTTTGATTGGAGCATTTAGTCCATTTACATTCAGAGTAATTATTGATAGATATGAATTTAGTTACATTGTATTACCTATAAATTTGTTGTTTCTGGAGATTTTTCTCAGTTCCTTTCTAGTGTTTGTTGTTTTTGGTCTTTCTTTCCCACTCAAAGAGTCTCCTTTAATATTTCTTGCAGGGCTGGTTTAGTGGTCATAAACTCCTTTAGTTTTGTTTGGGAAACTGTATCGCTCCTCCTATTCTGAATAACAACCTTGCTGGCTAAAGTATTCTTGGCTACATATTTTTCCCATTCAGTATGTTGAATATGTCATGTCACTCTCTTCTGGCCTGCTAAGTTTCTGTGGAGAGATCTGCTGCTAACCTTATTTGTCTTCCCTTGTAAGTTAGGGATTTCTTTTATCTTGCTGCTTTTAGGAGTTTTCCCCTTATCTCTATATTTTGCAAATTTAACTGTGTTATGTCTTGGTATTGGCCTGCTTTTGTTGATTTTGATGGGAGTTCTCTGTGCCTCCTGGATCTGGATATCTGTTTCCTTCCCCAGATTAGGGAAATTTTCAGCTATTATTCCCTCAAATAAATCTTCTGTCCCCTTTTCACTCTCTTCTTCTGGGACTCCTATGATATGAATATTATGTTTGATGGAGTCACTGAATTCCCTAAGTCTACATTTGTGATCTAATATTTTTCTTTCCCTCTTCTTTTCAGCTTCATTGTTTTTCATAATTTTATCTTTTGTATCACTTATTCATTCCTCCGATTCTTCCATTCTTGTGGTCATTACATCCAGTCGGTTTCAAATCTCAGTTATTACATTTTTCGTTTTGGCCTGACTAGTTTTTAGATCTTTTATCTCTGAGGTAAGAGACTCCCTAGTGTCTTCTGTGCTTTTTTCAAGTCCAGCTAGTATTCTTGTGATTGTTGCTTTAAGTTCTGGGTCAGGCATATTATTTATATCTGTTTCAGTCAGATCCCTGGCTCTGACCTTTTCTTGTTCTTTCTTTTGGGATGAATTCCTCCATCTTGACATTTTGTCTAGGTCTTTATTTTGTTCTGTGTATAGGAAAGCCTGTTATGTTTCCTGCTCCTGGGAGTAATGGCTTTATAAAGAAGAGGTCCTACACTGTCTAGGGCCGGGTGCTTTAAGAAGTGTCTCTAAGGTATGTTGTATGTACTCTGGCTGTATTTTGGCTGCTCTTTCCCTCAGGTTAGTCCTCTGCAGAGTTTCTCCTTGCCTGCAGTGGGGAGTGGACCTTGGCCAGAGTGTGCTGAGGCTTAACTAGGTGTGTTCTGGTCTGCTTGTTAAAAGAGACCTGATGCTATTTCCATTAGTGCTGAAGCTCTGCAGAACTCTCTTGTCAGTAGCCTTGGTGCATGTGGAGGATTTGTGGTGGTCTTCTGAGGGAACGGTCCGCTGCACCAGTTCTCAGGCATACTTGTCTGAGAAAAGCAGCACCTTCAGAGCACTGGGTGGGTGAGGCTTGGTATAAGCAGTTCAGGCCACCAGTGTTGGTGCTGTGCTGCTTACTGAAGTTAGTTTATGCTGAGGGGCAGGGGAGAGAAATGGCATCAGCCCCCTCCCTTGTCCCTGGAGAGGGGAGTTTGTACCCGCCACTGTCCAGGAAGCCCTCCCAGAAGAGCATGTGTTCCAGGCATCCCTCAGATCGCTTCCTTCACCCTGTCTGTGTCTGGGCTGTCTGCCTGCAGGCATTGTAGTGCACCTGTGTTCTATCCCAGGTAGGCTGGCTGAGTTTTAAAACTCCAAACTTTAGGGACCTGGCATGGCATGGACCATAGGATATATGCTTTTATAATGTGCATGTGGACTTTATTTTTCAGGACTTCATTTTATTTTGTATTTATAGTGTATAAAAACATTTAGGTTACTTAAAACTTAAAAAAAAATTTAGGCATGGGGTGCCTGGCTGTCTCAGTTGGTAGAGCATGCTACTCTTGATCTTGGGGTTGTGAGTTTGAGCCCCATGTTGGGTGTAGAGCTTCCTTTTTTTTTTTAAGATTTTATTTATTTGAGAGAGCCAGAGCCCATAAGCTGGCAGAGGGGCAGAGGGGGAGGGAGAGGCAGACTCCCTGCTGGGCAGGGAGCCCAATATCGGGCTTGATCCCAGGACCCTGAGATCATGAACTGAGCTGAAGGTAGACGCTTAACCTACTGAGCCACCCAGGTGCCCAGGGTGTAGAGCTTACTTAAGGAAGTTCAGGCATATAAAAACTTATTTAAAATACATGTAATAAAATAAAAATACAGTAACTACCTGTGTACCAATCTGGCTTAAAAAATAAAACATTAGGGTGCCTGGGTGGCTCAGTCAGTTATGTGTCTCCCTTTGGCTCATGTCATGATCTCAGGGTCCTGGGACCGAGCCCAGCATCGGGCTCCCTGCTCCCCGGGGAGTCTGCTTCTCCCACTGTCCCCTCCCTGCCCCCCTCTGCTCATGCTTGTGCTTTCTCGCAAAAATAAATAAAATCTTAAAAATAAAACAAAAAACATTATACATATCTACATTGCTCAAAGCATCAGTGTTTATAATAGCAAAAAACTGGAAACAACCTAAATGTCTATTCTGTTGTTGATAGGTACAAGTAGTGAAAAGTAATGACATGGATATGTTTCATAGAAGTATTCATACAAGTATGATTCTATTAAATGATGTTCAGAAATATGTAAAATCGAATATATCATTTAGAGATACAAATATGAGGAAAATCACAAAGAAAAGAGAGCATATTAAAACAAAAATCAGAATGGTGGTCTCTTCTGAGAAAGTAGGGAAGGGACTATATTGAGAGAAGTAATTATAGGGGATTTCAAAGGAAATAGAATGTTCTTAAATTGAGTATTGGATAAGTGGATGTTCATTATATTCCTCATATCCTGCATATTATATAAATATTCTTTTGTTCCTATTCAATATTTAACAATAGTTTTTTTAAAAAAGACAACATTATGAATGTAGTCCAAGCCCTGTGTATTCCTTCACAAATGTATTCCCTTTTTCTCAGAGATAACCACACTCCTCAATTTAGAATTTATTATATGCAGGTCTTTAACCTGAGTATTATGTTGCAGACATATGGAAACAACAAAATACAAGGAATGTTATAGTTATTCATTAGCATTTTCACTGGTAACTTGGCACTCTTAATCTCAGTGGTTTGTCAAGATTGTGTCATGTATAGCTATTAAAAGGATAATTACAGTAGCTACCTCCCAATTCAAATGCAGGTAAACACCATCAGTGCCTTACATATTATATTGTGTGGATATACTTGATTTTCAAATAATCAGTCCTCTATTTTAGGACATTAAAGTTGTTTCTAGATTTAAAAAGTTAGAACAGCAATGTCTGTTCTATAAATTTGTACACAGGCCCAGTATAAAAATTGGGTCATGTTATAATGGATATTTGCTATGGTACTTGTCTTTTTTTTTTTCACTTACCCCCTATACCATGTCTGTACTATAGATAGATTTATTTTTTTTTTTTTTTAAGATTTTACTTATTCCAGAGAGAGAGAAAGCAGGGGGAGGAGCAGAGGGAGAGGGACAAGCAGATTCTGCACTGAATGCGGGACGGATGCAGGGCTTGATCCTAGGACCTCAAGATCATGACCTGAGACACAACCACTAGTTGGACACTCAACTGACTGAGCCACCCAGGCGCCCTTTTTTCTTTCTTTTTTTTTTTTAAATAACAACTTACCAACATAGTTTTCATTGTATACATGTGCAGTAAGATTTTATCATTTCTTTATTGATGGATATTTAAGCTATCTACAGATAATATTGCTAGGAATATCCTTATATTTGTGAATTTTAGGGAGTATTTCTGTGTTTGTGGTCCCGGAAATGGGAATTGCTAGTTCAAAGAGTGAATATTTCAAATTTCCAGGTTGTCAGATTGCCTTCTAATAAGGTTATACCATTTGACACCTTGGTAATAGGGGGACTTCCCTCCCTCCTCAGATTAGATTAGATTCCCTTGCTATAAGATCTTATAATGCTTTGTATTTTTATAACTTTCGTAGCAGTTGGCTATTGTTAATCTTCAGTAATTTATTTACCTGCATTGGCTAGCAAAGTGTCACTCAGTTATGGCGGATATTCACTAAGGACAGGATAAGTTGAAAGTTCTGCCTGCAATTGTGTGTTAAAGATGGGAAGTTAGAGGAAATTTGCTCCTCTGGTTTATTTTTTGTGCAGAGTTCTCCTTCTTTTCTAAACTTGGCCGCTTTGACCAGAAGTTCTAGTGGTTTATGGATCTTTAGCTTTGGTACATCTATTTTCTTCCTGCCAGCTGGGTTTGTTTGCTGCTGAGAAAGTTATGCCTGTCATGTTATTGATGTCTCCTTCCTGCCCTCTGTACAAGTTGATGAAGGTTTTGGCTCTGCTTTCAACCTAAGACTAGAGTGTCCTTTTTCCAGAAGGGCAACGCAACCCCTTTTGACTCCAGTGTTTTTCTTGAACCTGGTCCAAACTGTTTTGTGTATTGATGATTTTTCTCTTAATAGAAGCAATGAGGCCTTTTTCTAGTTTTAGTTATGTGATGATATCTTTTATTCTTTTTTAAAATTTCTTTTTTGTGGTGCTTTGGTGGCTCAGTTAAGGGTCTGCCTTCACTTGGGTCATGATCCCAGGGTCCTGGGATAGAGCTCCGCATTGGGCTCCCTGCTCAGTGGGGAGCCTGCTTCTTTCTCTCCCTCTGCCTGCCTCTCTCCCCCTGCTTGTGCTCTCTCTCTCTATTAAATAAATAAATAAAATCTTCAAAAAAATTTCTTTTTTGTAATTTTAAGGTAGAAAAGTGCTACACACTTTAAGTAACACCAGTGATTTTCCAATAAAACTTAATTACTTTAAGTGTATCTATTTATAGAACATTTTTATCCAGTGCCATTCATTTTTCCTTTGGTTTAGATAACCTCAAAATCTCTGACTTTGGCTTGGCAACAGTGTTTCGGCATAATAATCGTGAACGTTTATTGAACAAGATGTGTGGTACTTTACCTTATGTTGCTCCAGAACTTCTAAAGAGAAAAGAATTTCATGCAGAACCAGTTGATGTTTGGTCCTGTGGAATAGTACTTACGGCAATGTTGGCTGGAGGTAAGAGCTATTTAATTAATCATGATGAAACTCCTGTCCTATGGAAAGCCAGATTTGTTATACCAAAATAAATGAAACAAACCAAGGAAATCCATATTTATATGATAGTATTTTTTTTTTAATTTTTTAAAGATTTTATTTATTTATTTGTCAGAGAGAGCACAAGCAGGGGAAGTGGCAGGCAGAGGGAGAAGCAGGCTCCCTGCTGAGCAAGGAGCCCGATGTGGGACTTGATCCCTGGGACCACAACCTGAGCTGAAGGCAGATGCTTAACCGTCTGAGCCACCCAGGCATCCCCTATATGATTATTTTAATAGTGAACTTATTATAATTAAGTTGGAACTTTGAATTCCAAAACTTTAAAAATGAGGTATGTATGGCTATTAAATGAAATATCACAATAGCAATCTCTTAAGATTCATGTGAATAATTTTGGAAACAGTAGAGCAGAAGTGATAGTTTATCTTTGAAATGCCTCTCATATTTCTGTGAGTTGGCATTCTTAGTTTGAAAACCATATTGAATTAATTTGGAGGAAATTTTAATGGGTTTGTATCATTGACTATTTTCCTTTAAAACTTTACTATATAATAATGTGAACACTCAGAAAACCGGGACTTGTTTCTTTTTTAGAATTGCCATGGGACCAGCCCAGTGACAGTTGTCAGGAATATTCTGATTGGAAAGAAAAAAAGACATACCTCAACCCTTGGAAAAAAATTGATTCAGCTCCTCTAGGTAACTGGGTTATGTTGATTGAAAGTACTGATTTCTTGGATAATGAAGCTTAGTGATGTTTGAATTTTTTTCTTATATATATTTTTTTCTTTTTAACTTTTAAATAATCACATAAGTAATATGTGGTCCTTGCAGAGAGATTAGAAAATATATATATATTTTTTAAAAACCAACCATATAATTCCAGCACTCAGAAATAACTTCTTTTAATATTTTGATATGCAGTTCTACACTTTGTTGTAAAAATGTATAACAAATGTATGTGTTTGTTATGTATGTATATTATTTATAAGTATGTATGTTTTTATAGAAAATGAGATCACACTACACATGCTATTTTATAACCTGTTTTTTTGTCTTAATGCTGTAGTCATGGACATTTTTCCATGACTGTAATTGTAGGTCTACATCATTGTTTTTAAAGACTGTGATGGAATTTTGCTATGTGGGTATGTTTTACTATAGTCATCCAATTCACTTTTTTTAGAGATTTATATATTTTTTTAATTTTTCACTTATGAAAGAGATATGGTGATCATCCACATAATGCACATACCTTTAAATCATTTAATTAAAAAAAATCCAGAAGTGTCAGGGATGTATGCAGTTTTTAATTATTATGGTTTACTTGGCCAAATTGCTTTTTTTTTTTCCTTGTGTGTTTTATAATTTTTTTTAAATTTTATTTTATTATGTTAATCACAATACATTACATCATTAGTTTTTGATGTAGTGTTCCATGATTCATTGTTTGCATGTAACACCCAGTACTCCATTCAATACGTGTCCTCTTTAATACCCATCACCGGACTAACTCATCCCCCCACCCCCGCAAATTGCTTTCTTAGAAAGTTCGTACTATTTCATCACAATCTCATTAGTTAATATTTAAAAAAAAATTTTTTAAGATTTTATTTATTTATTTATTTATCTGTTTGTTTTTAAAGATTTTATTTATTTATTTGACAGAGAGCGCACACACCAGCAGGGGGAGCAGCGGCAGGCAGAGGGAGAAGCAGGCTCCCCACTGAGCAGGGAGCCTGATCTGGGGCTCGATCCCAGGACCCTGAGATCATGACCTGAGCTGAAGGCAGACGCTTACCTGACTGAGCAACCCAGGCGCCCCAAAGATTTATTTATTTTATTTTATTTATTTATTTATTTATTTTAAAGATTTTATTTATTTATTTGTCAGAGAGAGAGACAGAACACAAGCAGGGGGAGAGGCAGGCAGAGGGAGAAGCAGGCTCCCCGCTGAGCAAGGAGCCTGATGTGGGACTCGATCCCAGGACCCTGGGATCATGACCTGAGCCGAAGGCAGCCGCTTAACCAACTGAGCCACCCAGGCATCCCAGATTTATTTATTTTAGAGAGAGAGCACACATGGTGCATACATGCAGTGGGGAGGGGTAGAGAGTGTCTTCTGCAGACTCCGCACTGAGCATGGAGCCCAACATGGTGCTCAATCTCAGGACTCTGAGATCACAACCTGAGTGGAAACTAAGAGTGGGTTGCTTAACCAACTGAGCCACCCAGGCACCCCTGTATTCACTGTTTTCTTATTTTTATTTTTAATTTAATACCAATGAGGTTGTACATCCATTGCTAGCTTTTTATCTATTTTTGTGGATGATCTGTTTTGCACACTTGTGGCAGTGAGGTTTTCTTACTACTTTGTATGAGTTTTTTTTTTTTTTAACATTAATGTCATTAGATCTTTGCATTTGTTACAAATATTTTTCACAATTTGCCATGCATTTTTATTTTGTTTATGTTATTTTCACATGCAGAAGTTTTATATTTTTATTCAAATCTATTATTTTGTTCTTTGTGGTTTTCTGACTATATTGTTACGTTTGGAAAGGTCTTCCCTACCCCTAACTTTAGAAAAGAATTCCCTGTGTTTTCGTGTTTTTATAGCTTCAGTTTTTCATTTAAATCTTTGGTCCATTAGAAAATAATTTTGGCTTTCGGAGATGTATGAATTTTTTATCAGGATAATTAAGATACTTTAGGATGATAGTTGCTTACATTATTGTCTCTTAAAAAGTTACTGGAAAGTCAATTTTCCTTATAAAACTGTGTGAATGAGGATGTAACATGACATATTGGAACAATGAAGTTTGGTATTGAAAATGGATGAGGGTTTTTGTATCTTTTTGTTTATGTTGTCACATGGGGAGAAACATTTCCACCAGGCTCTTGTTCTACTTATTTGTAGACAGATGAGAATTAGATCTGAGAATGATCTTCTAAGATATAGACAGTAGCAAAGAGCAACTACATGAAATTAAAGCAATAATGTAGTAGCTTTATTCTTTCTCTTGCCCAGAAATATTGGATATAAGGAGACTAATAGAGAATATGTTCCACAGCACAAGTTTCTAATCTGCATGACTCTTGTAAATGTTGTATTAATATTTTATTTTCAGCTTTGCTGCATAAAATCCTAGTTGAGAATCCATCAGTAAGGATTACCATCCCAGACATCAAAAAAGATAGATGGTACAACAAACCTCTCAAGAAAGGTAATATTATGAAAAATACAAGTATTTTTTTCTGTGAAAGAAAAGACACTTGCAGTCAGTATTATAAGTCAACAACACAAGATACCTGTGGTCTCAGTCCTCATGTAGGTTGGTTATAATGTCTAGTAGGGAAAACAAATACAAAAATTAATTTTGAAGTTTATTAATAAAGTGGAAAGTCAGAGTACTATAGCTAAGTGTTTGACCAAGTCTTAAGTGACAGAGAAAACTTGTCTTCCTGAGGAAATCACATTAAATCTAAGATCTGAAGATTAAAGGGGAGCTAGCTAGATGAGTACTAGCAAGGTGAGTGGCAGATTCTGAACAGAAGAAGCAGCATCTGGAGAGTCTTGGAATTTGGAAGGTGGTACATTTGAGGAACTTGAAAGAAGGCCAGTATGGCATGGACAGTGTCTGGCTTATTCATCACGGTTGTCACCAGAGGTTAGCACGGTGTGTTGTACATTGTAGGCTCTCAGTAAATGTTTATTGAATAAATGAGTGAATAAAGAAGGGGGAGAGGGAGAGAGGTTTGAGATGAAGGTGGAAAGGTAGACAGTGACCAAATTGTGGAGGGGGACCTTGTAAACCACATTAAGGATTTTGGGCTTTAACTTGAGGCCACTGAAGAAGCCTTTGAGAGATTTTAAGCCAGGAAATACATGATCATATGTTTGGTTTTAAAAGATCTTTCTAGCTACTTTTTTTTCCCCATTGTTTTTGACATTTTTGATCCTGAATGTGAGAAGATGGTACCCTTGGATGAGGTTAGTGGCAGTGGGATTGGAAGGAAGAAGTAGATTCCAAAGAAATTTACCAACTAGAGTTGATAGGACTGGTGATTGTTTATATGTAGGAAATGAAGGAGGATGAGGAGTCCAGGATGACTCCTTTCTGGGTTGACCAACTCAGAAAATGGTGGTGCCATTTACTGCAATATAACTCAGGAAAAACAGAATTGGGGGGAAATTTTATTTGATTTTGGACATGCCGAATTTGAGAAGTAAAACTGTCTAATAAAGAGATGTGTGTATGTGTGTAACTCAGGAGATAGGACCTGGCTTGGGATGTCGATATTTAGGTGTTTTCTGCAAATAGACCGTAATTTAAACTGGTAGATGAAATTGAGTGTATGAAACTTTAAGGAAACTTAAATCTCTAACATTTAAGAGATAGGTAGAGACCAGGGAAACAGAGAAAAATAGCCAGAGATGGGAGGAATAACAGGAGAATATGGAGGAATTGAAGCTAAGAGAAGAAAACGCATGATACTAGCTAATACTATTAAGTGAATTAATAACATGAACCCTAAAATTTCCCAATAGTTATTCACGATTGTGGCAGGAACAGGTTTGGTGGAGAGCTGGGAGTAAATTGTCGAGTGCAGTGATTATAGTCTAAAAGATAGTGAAGCGAGTGTAGACAGCTCATTCAAGCAGTCTGGCTGTGAATGGGAGGAGAGACGACAATGGTGAGAGATGAATGAGGAGTTTTTAACTCTTCTCTGAATGTGTCTTTTACCTTTCACTCTGTTCTAATAGGAATCCAACTCTCTCCTGAGAACACAGGCTTCCTCTCCAGTGGTAGATGTTTTCTTTCCCACATGCTCCTACCCTTGAAACATGGGGTGGGGCAGACATCCTTTTTGTCTTCATTGCCACTTTTTCCCTTTTTCCCACATTTCTCCCCCGCTTCATTTTGAATCTCATATTATCAGATTACCACCCACAGTTCCATCCTTGTTACAATCAGCTTCTGAACCCCCAATTAGAATTCCTGCCACATTGTCACTCTCTCCAACATGACTCTTGATATACATTTTGTACATCATGGTTCTTGGTGATTTAAATATTCATTTGGATGATCCTTCCAATATCCTGATCTCATATTTCCTTGACCTTCTCTCCTCTAGTGATTTTCTCTTCAAGCATCCTTCTTTGATTACTGGTATATTTTTTTCTGGTTTCCTTCTCTAGTACCCTGACTCCAGCAATCCTTTGACCCTACTTGGATATGTAATCCACTAATTCTACTTCCTTTTCACTATCTCTTATCTGCTCCCTCCCTAGGTCCTCATTTCCATCCTCACTACTTTAAATCCCAAGGTCAGTCATTATAATGACTTCTTTACATTCAGCTTCAGCTTTCCAGCCCTCTTCTCTCTTCCTCAGGCTTACTGGTCAAAACCTAACCCAAGTTTAATCCAGTCTTCTGCCTACTCTACACTTAACACCTGCATAGCTGATCACATTTGGACCAAAATATATAACAGTGTTCACTTTAAATTCAGACTCACTAATCTCAAGTGAGCCCTTAATTCTGCCAGGCAATTATAATGCATTTCTTTACTTCTTTCACAACCTCACTCTCCTAAATCACATTTGTATGCCTTTTCTTTTTTCTTCAACTTCTAATACCTCCTTCATCCTCACTCTAAGTTGGTGACAGTACTTCTTATTTCACTGAGAAATAGAAACAATCATAAGGAAACTTCCACAAGCTCCCATCACCATCTCTACTCACCTAACCAGTTGCCTCTGTGTTCATATACTCTGCTTTCTCCTCAGTTGCTAGGAATAAATTGTCTGCTCCAGATATAAGCCAACTTTGTCTTGTGCACGATGCCCAGTTCTCCTTTGCTTACTCAGGGACATTGTCTGGCAATTCTTCTGTCTTCCTCCTGCATCATTAATTTTTCTCTCTCTCCTACTTTCTCATCAGCATACCAGCATGATGTTCTTTCATCTTACTGCCTGATGCATAGTAGCTTTACTAAATATTTGGATAAATGAATTAATAAATAAAATGTTTGGCTAAATAAAAGTGTGTTTAAATGGTTTCGAGACCGTTGCAGTTGAGAGGAAAAGGCTGAAGGTCTAAGAGAGAAGGAGCATCAAGACCGCTGAAGAGAAAGGAGGGTATGGGGCTCACATACAAGTAGAGGGATGGGCATTGGATAGGAGCATGGAAGGGAAGGAAGAATGGGTAGTTATGGGAATTTCACAACAGTATAGAAGTTTTGAAGTAATCATTTGGAGAAAGAGAGAGGAAACTGACTAGAGAAACACAAGACTGTCAGTGTTGAGGATCCAGCTAAGGATAGTAACCATGAATTTATAGTGGCATCATTTTCTATATAATAATTATTCTTGGTACCTTTTTCAGGGGAGCAAAGAATGTTGGATAGAGTAGATTCATAATGTTTATTGCCATTATCATAAATTATTTTTTATTTTAAAAAGTTTTGATTTTTTAGCTAGGTCTTTTTGTCTTCATAGGCCACTGTCTATTACTATAAATGGTACCATTAAAATTATGACCTTTATGTGAAACCCCACACTTGGAACATACTTACAAGTGAGGATTTGTGAAATATGTAATTTGACAAGTGAGTCCTCCTAAGTTTATAATGACCACATTTCGTATGTAATCATGTACAAGGAGCCACTATTTGTCATATAACTATTTTGTTTTGGATAAATGGATTTAGATGTGGTTTTAAAATATTTGTATTTATGTTTTCTTTTTTAGGGGCAAAGAGGCCCCGAGTCACTTCAGGTGGTGTATCAGAGTCTCCTAGTGGATTTTCTAAGCACATTCAATCCAATTTGGACTTCTCTCCAGTGAACAGTGCCTCTAGGTAAGATTAATCAATAAAGATCAAATAGTTGTTGAATGTAATGTTCCCATAAGAAAGAATGCATGTATATATTTTTTCTTAATCGTGAATGTGATTTTTATCAATGTGAGAATGGTAATGTCATATAAGACGGGCCTGATTGATTTTATCTGAAGATATATTTTTTTCCCATATCTTAATGCCCCAGTGAAGAAAATGTGAAGTACTCCAGTTCCCAGCCAGAACCACGGACAGGTCTTTCTTTATGGGACACCAGCCCTTCATATATTGATAAACTGGTACAAGGGATCAGTTTTTCCCAACCCACATGTCCTGATCATATGCTCTTGAATAGTCAGTTACTTGGCACCCCAGGATCCTCACAGGTAAGGGAATTTAGTTTTTTCAAGTAAGTGATGAAAAACCTCTAGTTTTTGTCATAAAGCCATTTTTTTAAATGTATAAATCCTAGAAATATAGTATTAACACTTTAGTGTATACAGATTTTTTTTTTTTTAACAAGGAGGAGAGAATTAGAGGATGCTTTCCTGTGTAAGAATCTTAAGTTACAGAAAAGAATTTTCAGACCGAATAGCTATGATATGACTGCTTTTAGTAATACCAGATTTATTCAGGTTTCCTCTCTTTGACATGTAGAACCCTTGGCAGCGCTTGGTTAAAAGGATGACACGATTTTTTACCAAATTGGATGCAGACAAATCTTATCAATGCCTAAAAGAGACTTGTGAGAAATTGGGCTATCAGTGGAAAAAGAGCTGTATGAATCAGGTATGTTTCATTGATTTTCCTGAAGAAAAATGTAAATATTTAAGTAAAAAACGGTCATTATCAGTATATTTTTGAAAAAGAAACAATTGGGAGATGCCTGGGTGGCTTAGGCGTCTGCCTTTGGCTCAGGTCATGATCCCAGGGTCCTGGGATTGCTTCCCACATTGGGTTCCTTGCTCAGGAGGGAGCCTGCTTCTCCCTCTGCCTGCTGTTCCCCCTGCTTGTGTATTCTCTCTCTCTCTTTTCCTCTCCCTCTCACTCGCTCTCTCTGACCAAAAAAAAAAAAAATCTTTAAAAAAAGAGAAAAAGAAACAATTGAGATTGAGCAGACTTAAGTAAAATGTTCTTTATCTTAAGAAATAATATTGAAAGTCTTCTTTAAGGTTATTAAAAATATCAAGAGAGGCAAATCATTATGTTTTTAAAAACTATATATACTTAAATTGTAACAGTAACAAAGATTCCCTTCTATGAAAGATGAATACATTAACAATCCCATATTTCTTCCATCTCCCCTGCTCCCACCTACCAGTTTTTGTTGTTTATATTATTATAGCATATTTGTAACATTGAAATTCTAATCTGTCTTTAGGCTTTTCAAAAATCTAATGTCATAAAAAACAATTAAAGGTGAATATTATTTATTAAAGAAGACTGATAAATAATGTAATGTGTGATCTTTCACTAAATCATGGATTTAAAGAAAAGAAACCTTTATAAAGGATGTTATTGGGACAATTGGAAATTTGAATATGGTTTTGTATTAGATAATGTTTCTGTATCAGTGCCAAATTTCTTGAGTGTTATAATATTGTGGTTTGTAGGAGAATGTCTTTGTTCATAGGAGAAACGTGTTGAAGTGTTTGTCTTCTATAGCTTGGTTGAAAAACTAAAAAAAAAAAAACGACAACCACATAAAAAAAGACAAGTGAACATGTACTTATCTAGGTTGATAAGACCAGTGAAGGGTATATAGTTATTATTGTAGATTCTTTCAGGGTTTTTTTTGTAGATTTGTAAGCTTTCAAAATTAAAAGTTGGGGGAAATTGTTACTATGCAGAAATCTGAGGCCAGCCTCATTTTCCTCTCACTTGTGTAGGTAATTTATTTATTTTTTTAATCAGGTAGGTTTACTGAGGTGAAATTCATGTAACCTAAAAATCATCACTTTAACCATTTTAAAGTGTATAATTTAGTGGTTTTGGTATATTCACAAGATTGTGCTACCATCATCATTTAATTCTAGAACATCCCATTGCCTCAAAAATAAACTATACCAATTAACAGTCGCTCCTCATTCTTTCCTCCCTTCATTTCGTGGCAGCCACTGATTTACTTTCTGTCTCTATGGACTGCCTATTCTGGGTATTTCATATAAATGGAATTATATAATATCATATAAATGGCCTTCTGTGTCTGCTCTAGCTTAGCATAATGTTTTCAGGGTTAATCCACATTGTTTACATTTATCAGTATTTCATTCCTTTTTATGGGAAAATAATCTTCCATTATGTGGATAGAAGACCACATTTTATTTATCCATACCTGTTGATGGACATTTGGGATGTTTCTACTTTTTGGCTATTATGAGTAATGCTGCTACGAACATTTTTTGTACAAGTTTTTGTACGAACTTTGCCAGGGCTGTCATAACAAAATACCACAGACTGGGTGCTTGAACAGCAGAAATTTATTTTTTCACAATTCTAGAGACAGAAGTCCAAGATCAAGGTGCTGGCAGGTTCGGTTTCTTCTGAAGCCTCTTTTCTTGGCTTTCAGATGGCTGTCCTCTTGCTGCCTCGTCATCTGGCCTTTGCTCCGTGCACATGGGTACCTGTTACCTGTCTCTCTCTGTATCCTAATTTTTTTTTTCTTACAAAGATACCAGTCATATTGGATCAGGACCCACTTAGTGGTTTCATTTTAATTCAGTTACCTCTTTAAAGACCCAGTCTTCAAATACAGTCACATTCTGAGGGGTTAGGGCTTCAACATATGAATTTTGAGGGAATACAATTCAACCCATAACAATATGTTTTCAATTTCTTAGGTATATACCTGCTAATGGAATTGCTAAGGCATATAGTAACTCTGTTTAACTTTTTGAGGAGCTGCCAAGTGGTTTTCCAAAGCAGCTACACCATTGTACATTCCCACCAGCAGTGTATGTGTTAAGCATCTTGTACTTTCCCAGAACATGAGGTTCCAGTTTTGCACAATAGTGGTATACCAGTGTATTTTTTAGTCATTCCTTGAAATGAGAAGTATTACAAATGTTTTTGTAATTTGGGCTAAACTTATTTATATTGCCTTAGGTTACTGTATCAACAACAGATAGGAGAAACAATAAACTGATTTTCAAAGTAAATTTGGTAGAAATGGATGAGAAGATCTTGGTTGACTTCCGGCTTTCTAAGGTACATACAACAACATGTTTTTGTTTGTTTTAAACTTTGTTTTGCTGTTATTAAAGAAGTATTACGTGTTCATTGTAGAAACCTAAAAAATATGAAAACATATAAAGGAGAAAATACGAATCAAGTTTAATCTAATCATCCAGAGAGAACAGAGACCTATTTTATACTGTATTTCATTATGGTAGTCTTACTACTTTAGTATGTGCTATATGGAAATGCTCTTATATGTAGAGATTTTTTTTCAATGGCATTATATTTGTATATACATGGCATTTGTAAATATGTGGTAACATTGATTTCATTCAATGTTCTGAACATTTGTTTTTTGTCATCCTTCTAAAACGTAGTTTTTTCAAATGACATTTTCCTTATTATAGAAGTTTTTTTGTAGAAAATGTAAATAAGTAAAAATAAAATAAAAATAATCCGAAATTATACTGTCCAACAGTAATTACCCTGAATATTTTAAAGCATTCTAAACTTATTTAATCCATATATATCTTTTTAATAACAATTATGTTTGTCCAAGTGTATAATATAATTAATGAACATTTATCTGTCATAAGTAAGTCTATGGTTAATATTTATATACGTAGAGTCTTGTTCACATTTCTGGTTATTTCTTTAGAAATTACTGATTCTGAGGTTATAGTTTGGCCTTGGTATATAAGACCAAAGTAGCATTTTATCTGTTTGCTGAGAGATTGTATATGGCTCTAAAGGAGGTTGGGGAAATAAGTCACATTCTAAAATTGGAAATTTGCTCCATTACCATTGTCTAGATGCTTAGTATGGGATTAAATTATTAAGATCCTAGTGTAATGAAATTCTTCTCATAACTAAATCACTGGCTTTGTTGCCACAGTATTTTGGCAAGATTTCAGTGTAGCCGTGTAGCTTAATTTTAGTTTACAAACCCCCAGTGCCTATGGAAAACAGTGACTTAGGTCCATAGATACCAATGCTTGAAATAGACAAGATGCCATTGTTTCTGCTCTCTGAGCCCAGTGTGGTGGGAACTGTGATGGGCCCAAAAGCAAGTTGGAATTACTTATGTAGCCATTTCTTCTAAGACATTTGGTCCTCAGAAGAGGACCTGAAGAGAATTGTAGGTGGACATAGCTAAGGATGTTTGTCTCTACTTACCACTAAAGAGAGTTTGATTTTATGGCAGTCTCTTTTTTGATATCATTTTTTGATATTATTCCTAATATAGGGTGATGGATTAGAATTCAAGAGACACTTCCTGAAGATTAAAGGGAAGCTGAGCGATGTTGTGAGCAGCCAGAAGGTTTGGCTTCCTGCCACATGAGAGATCCACTGGATTCCTGGTGAATATAGTGCTGCTATGTTGACATTATTCTTCCTAGAGAAGATTATCCTATTCTGCAAACTGCAAACAATAGTCTCTGAAGGGTTGTCTTCCCTCTAGCCAAACATTTTCCAATTCTTTTTGTATGTTCTTCATACAAACAATACCTGTGTCTTCATTGTAAGTAAAGCTTTGGGGAACGGATGGATAGAATTCATTAGATATTTCTTCATCCTGTGTTTAGTGTCTAAAGACCCATGTGCTGGAAACCAAGCTTTGGGGATACATGAGCTTACCACCTTTTATACCAATGTAATGAAAGATGATATTCTTATAGCATTGTTAACAAAACATTTGGTTTCATCCAAAAAGTAGGTGTTTCCTATGTTGATTTAATTACATGGATGGATTAGTAATAAAGCAATCCTGTGACTTTTGGACAGTAGATTTATCAGTCTATAAAGTGAAGCCAACTTCAAAAAATATATCCCCAAGATTTGTACTTATATTTTCACAAGGGCCTTACCAAGTATATAAATCTGTTTTTGAATTATAACTGTTACTTAAAATTGCAAGTAGGTATGTTTTCTCCATTGTAGTTAATAATATATAAAATACTGGTTGTCTTTCAAGTAGAAGTTGAGCGTGGACTCTAGTCCTTAACTACCTTTACTCTAAAATTACTATTGCACATTTTAAATATTTTTCTATATTATTTTCTACTTTCACAGCCATATTTTAATTCTTTATTACAGAAATAAATTCTATTTTGAAAATGAATAGCTAACTCTGTGGACTTCTTGGTGACCAAGCTTCTAGGTAGTAGGGAATAAAAGAGGAGGGAGAAGAAGTAAGGAAGCTGTGATAGAAATAGATCTGATCCTAATTCTTTTACTATTAGATTTACTAAGACTTTGTTCTTCTGATAAAATTTATATTAATATTTGAATGTATTAGGTTGGGACCTGTATTCCTTTTTCTTGGTAATTTATAAAATTAATCATTTTAGTCTGAAGCTAAGAATATGTGAAATTTTATGGTTAGAGTTTATCACTTATTAGTATATACTGGTAAATTGTGTTCACTGCAGTATATCCATAGGAGAAATAAATTTGAAGCAATAGGTGACTCCTAAGAATTGAGCCAGTAAATTCTCAAATATGAAACATTTTGTTCTTGAGAATTGTGATTAGTAACTCTCAAAAACAAAGTTATCTCAGGCTTTGACCTCTCTTGTGAGCTTTAGACCTTTACAGACACAGCCAAGCTGACATTTCCACTTGACTAATAGTGAACACGTGACCAAAACCAGCTTTTGGTCCCTGTCTTCCAACCTGTTCTTCCCTAATTTCTCCCAATCCCAGTAAATGCTATATTCAGCTCTCCAGTTCCTTAAGCCAAAACCCCAGGAATCCTCCTTGACCTGGTTTTCATATTGTACATTTAATTCAGCAAATTCTGTTCCCTTTAGCAAATTTATCCACAATCTATCCTACTTCACACCTCTACTAGAAGCACTCTAGTTGAAGGCACTGTTACCTCTCTTTTCATTATTACTTACCCTACAACAGTTCAAAAAGACAATCAGAATGATCTTTATAAAATGTGAATGAATCAGTTATCCTTCCCCTGTACTCAACTCTCATGGCTTTTCATCACACTTCAAACAAAATTCAAAATTTTCTCTCTCACCTTCTGGCTTAATGGGATCTGCCGTCTTACCAACGCCTGGGCCTCCTCTGCCACTCTTCCTACTTACGCTGCCCTAGCTGCATTTGCTTTGCTGTTCTGCTCATGTTTACTTGAGCAGACACATTCTTATCTCAAGATCTTTTCCTTTGATGTTCCCTCTCCCTGGAGTGCTTTACTCCCAAACATTCATGTGGCTTGTGCTTCACTTTAAGTCCTTGCTTAAGTGTCACCCATTATGCAAATCTCCTTGGCTTATCTAAAATGTTACCCCACTTCTATCATTCTTTATTTTTCATCATAACACTACCTGACATTATATTTTTATTTACCTATTAAATATCCATTTCCCTCATTGCAGTATGTAATATGTAAGCTCCTTGAGGTCAGGGATCCTATATGTCCTGTTCAGTTCTGTGTCCCCAGCACCTAGAAGAGTGCCTAATGTATTACAGGTGCAATGAATAGTTGTTTAATGAAGAAATAGACAATTGATCCGGCCTGTCCTCAGAATATATCTGGGAGCTGAAGACTTCTGTCCATTTTGATTGCTGCCACTCTAGTTCAAGCTCCTTCATCTCCTCCCCGAATTTCTTACTAAAAACTAATGTCTTCCCACTTCCACTCTTGCCATTTCCCAACCCTCTCTCCCTCAAAGTCTTTTCTTGACATAGGTCCTAACTTGTTTTTTTTTAAAGATAAATTGTACTCTGACACTCCCTTGCTTAAAAACCTCCAGTGACTTTCCACTGCATCAAAAATGGAATCTGGGCGCCTGGGTGGCTCAGTCGTTAAGCGTCTGCCTTCGGCTCAGATCATGATCCCAGGGTCCTGGGATCGAGTCCCACATCGGGCTCCCTGCTCTGCGGGAAGCCTGCTTCTCCCTCTCCCACTCCCCCTGCTTGTGTTCCTGCTCTCGCTATGTCCTGTCAAAAAAATAAAATTAAAAAATCTTAAAAAAAAAAATGGAATCTAAATTGTTTTCTTGGACTGCAAGATACACCATCTGTTCTCTTTGTTCATCATACTATAGGCAGAGTAGCCTTCTACCTCTACTTCTATTCATTAAGCATGCCAAAACTCATTCCCATTTCAGGCCTTTTATGTTTTCAGCTCCCATCACCTGGAATCCCTTCCAGTAGTTTGCATGACTTACTTAGCATTCAGATCTCAGCCCAAATGTTTCTACTATCCCCAGTCACTGTCCCACTGTTTTGTTTTCTTCATAGAATTGATTACTATCTGAAATTACAGTCTGTCTCCCTGACCAAAATGTAAGCTTAGACTTCGTCATTTCTTTTCCCCTTTGTATATCTCCCCCCTCCTTCCTGCCCCTTTGTATATTTTGTATGTGGAACAGTACCTGGAATACAGTAGGCCCTAAATAAATATTTGTTGAATAAATGAATTAAATATCAGATGAAGAAAATGCTACAGAATATTGTAAGGGGAAGGTGAATAGATGGATAGTAAACAAACTTTCTCAGCTATTGGAATTTGTGTAGAATGGGGGGGAAGTTCCATTCAGACTTGGACAGATTAGCTCTCACAGTTGTAATTACGTGAGCATTGGCAACCGCCTCTGTAAAGAGACTGATAATAACTACATTTTAGAGTTGTTTTTAATCTTAAATGAGTTAATGTGTATAAGGAGTGTAGTATAAAGTGTTGCACAAAAGGCATTCAATAAACATAAGCTGCCATAATTTTTCTGCAGTGTTCATTATACTGTTGGGAGAAGGTGTTTACTCCCATTATTAAAAGTAATGTTTGCTTAGCAACGAAAATTTGCAAAATGTAAAAATGGGGGGAATGGAATTATAACCCAAAGGTAACAGCTAAAATTTTGATGGAAAGTCAACGTGTGCTGCATTGTGTGTATGCATAGTGTGGTGTGTGAAGTGGGTATGATTGTTGAGATAAATATAAATACGTACAATGTGTATGGTTTAACAAGCAGTTGTAAAGTTAATCTGTTTAACCAAACTCAGTTGAAGAAAGATCATTTCTGGACCCTCACAAGCCTTCCCTTGTACCCCTTCCCACTCAGAACCCATTCCTTTCCCCCAGAAGTAATCATAAAATTTATTTTTATAATAATCCTCTCCTTGGTTTTCTTTAGTTTTCTCAGCTATTTATGCATCTTTATTTTATTTTTTAAAAAAGATTTTATTTATTTATTTGAGAGAGAGAGAGCGTGAGAGCGAACACAGGGTAGGGGCAGAGGGAGAAGCAGACTCCCCGCTGAGCAGGGAGTCCGATGTGGGGCTTGATCCCAGGACTCGGGACCACGACCTGAGCTGAAGGCAGATGCTTAACCTACTCAGCCACCCAGGTGCCCCTATTTATGCATCTTTAAATGACATAGTTTACTTTTGCCTATTTTAGAACTTCATATAAATGAAATTATGCTGTATGTAATTTTTATGTGTTGCTTTTTTATTTTCATTAGCATGAATAACTTGCATGTATCGAATTCATTGATTTTAATTACTGTATAGGATGCCATTTATGAACATACCACTAAAATTATCTATTCTCTCTACTGCTAATGGATGTTTGCGTTATTTACAGTTTGACACTATTATTAACACCTGCTAAGAACATTGTTCATGTCCATGAATTTCTCTAGGTCCTGGAGACTAGTGTGTATACCTGCGAGTGGAATGGATGGGTTTTAGGGTATGCATATCTTCAGCTTTAGAATAAGGGCAAACTGTTTCAAAAGTGATTGTACCAATTTATACTGCCATGAAAGAGGATGCAATTGCTGGAAAAACAGTTTGGAATGATCTATTAAAGTATCAGAATTTTAATAGCAGAATATGTGTTTCTAGTATTTCAGACTTTCCCCTCCATTTGATTCTGTCAGTCTAATTTTTGCCAAGTTACTGGTGTAATATTTGTTTGGTATTAATTTGCTCATACCTAAGTTTAAATAAGGTTTGAGTGTCTTATGATGTGCCTCCCCCAGTCTTTTCCCCATTTTTCTGTTGTCTTTTTTTTCTTAATGATTTCAGTTGTTTATATGTTCAGCATACTAGTTGTTTGTCAGTGGTATGTATAGCATGTACACTGTCCCATTCTGTGGCTTATTGTTTCAAATTTCATGGAGGTCTGTAATTTTAATGTAGTTCCGTTAAGATCTCTCCTGGCTAACTTTGTTTCCTATTCTACTTCAAGGTCATGAAGATGTTCTTGTATATTATTTTCTAAAAGCTTTATAGTTTTGGCTTTCATGTTTAGATCTATAATCCACCTGAAAGTGGATTTTGTGTATAGTGTGAGGGAAGAGGTCAAGGTTCATTTTTCCCCCCACTTGGCTATCCAATTTAACATTGGTTAATTGAAAAGATTATCCTTTTCCCCCTGTTATCCATTCAGTGTTCAGATTTCCAGTTCTTATTTTTTACAGGACACTTTTAAAAAAGATTTTATTTATTTGGGAGAGAGAGATTGAGAGAACGAGTGGGGGGAGGGGCAGAGGGAGAAGCAGACTCCCTGCAAAGCAGGGAGCTAGACATGGGACTTGATCCTAGGACCCTGGGATCATGACCTGAGCCAAAGGCAGACACTTAACCGACTGAGCCACCCAGGTGTCCCATCTCATTCATATTCTAATTGGAATTTTTTATATTGGGTTTTGGAAATTCTTTATATGTCCTAGATACTCGTTCCTTGTTTGATATGTGGTTTGCAAATATGCTCTCCCATTCCATAGCTTGCCTTTTCATCCTCTTAACAGGTTTGAAAACAGCAAAAGTTTTAAATTTCAATGAAGTCCAGTTATTTTTCATTTTATGAATGACATTTTTGGAATCTGTTAAACACAGAGTCTAACAATCCTTTGTCTAGACTTAGATCGCAAAGATTTTTCCTATATTATTCCTAAAAGTTTTTGTTTTTTCATTTTACATTTAAGGCTATGATGCATTTTGAGTTAATTTTTATGTAAGGTATGAGCCTTAGGTTGAGTTTAATTTTTTTTTTTTTTTGCCTCTCAATATCTAGTTGTTCCATTGCCATATGCTGAAAAGGTTATCTTTCCTCCACTGAATTGCTTTCAGACCTTTGTAAAAACATCAGCTGGGTGTATTTGTAGGTCTGTTTCTGAGTTCTCTGTTCTGTTTCATTGTTGTGTCTGTCTGTCTGTCCAATAATACCACACAGCCTTGATTACTATGCATATATATTGTGAATTTGGTAGATTGATTCCTTCCAGTTTATCTTCTTCAAAATTGGTTTAGATATTCTAGTCCTTTGTCTTTTCATATACATTTCAGAATAATGTCTGAATCTAAAAAAAAAATTTGCTGGGTTTTAGTTTTTTTATTTATTTTTTATTTTTTTAATTTTTATTTTCTTTTTATAAATTTTATTTATTTGACAGAGAGAGACACACAGAGAGAGAGGGAACACAAGCAGGGGGAGTGGGAAAGGGAGAAGCAAGCTCCCCGCCGAGCAGGGAGCCTGAGCGGGGCTCGATCCCAGGACTCCGGGATCATGATCTGAGTCGAAGTCAGTCGCTTAACGACCGAGCCACCCAGGCGCCCCTGGGTTTTAGTTTTAATTGTGGTAAAATATATACAACATAAAATTTATCATTTTAATTATTTTTAAGTGCCGGTTCAATAGTGTTCAGTATATTCACACTGTTGTGTAATTATCACCATCATCTATTCTCAGAACTTGTTCATCTTCCTGCACTGAAACTCTTGTACCTATGAAACAGTAACTCCTCATTTACCCTTCCCCACTAGCTCCTGACACCCACCATTCTACTGTCTATTTCTATGAATTTGAAAACTTCTAGTCCTTCATATTATAGAATCATATAATATTAGTCCTTTTGTGTCTGGGTCATTTCAATCAGCATTTGTCTTCATGGTTCACCCATGTTTTAGCATGTATCAGATTTCATTCCTTTTATTTATTTATTTATTTATTTATAAAGATTTTATTTATTTATTTGACAGAGAGACAGCAAGAGCAGGAACACAAGCAGGGGGAGTGGGAGAGGGAGAAGGAGGCTTCCTGCCGAGCAGGGAGCCCGACGTGGGGCTCGATCCCAGGACCCTGGGATCATGACCTGAGCCAAAAGCAGACGCTTAATGACTGAGCCACCCAGGTGCCCCTCATTCCTTTTAAAAGCTGCATAATATTCCATTATATTTATAATACACATTTTATTTATCCATTTATCCTTTGATGGACATTTGAACTGTTTGTACTTGTTGGCTATTGTGAATAATGCTGCTGTGAACATGGGTGTACAAATAATCTATTTGAGTCTCTGCTTTCAGTTCTTCTGGGCATATATCTAGAAGTGGAATTGCTAGTTATATGGTAAATCTATTTTAATTTTTTGAGATAACTCCATATTGCTTGCCATAATGGCTGTACCATTTTACATTCCTGCCATCCTAGAGTTATAACAATATATTTAAAATTAACACCATCTTAATTTTGTCATGAAAGGACTCTAGTCCCCCACAGCTTTGCTTCTACCCTTCCCCATTTTATTTTACTGATGTCACAAATTACATCTAACATAGATTTACAGTTATTTTTATGCATTTATCTTTCAAATCATGTGCAAAAGTGGAGTTCTAATTGTTTTCTCCCTATACGTAAGGCTTCATTTTTCTCTGGCTGTTTTTAATATTTTTTTTCTTTGAATATGGCGGTTCCTCAAAAAATTAGAAATAGGAATAACATACAATCCAGTAATTCCACTTCAGAGTATTTACCAACCCCCCCCCAAAACCCTAATTCAAAAAGATATATTCATCTTATGTTTATTGTAGCATTATTTACAATAGTCAAGAAGATATGGAAGCAATGTCTATTGATACATGAATGGATAAAGAAGATAAGGGGTGTGTGTGTGTGTGTTGGAATATTACTCAACCATAAAAAAAAGAAAATTTGCCATTTGTGACAATACGGATGGACCTTTATGGGTATTGCACTAAATGAAATAAGTCAGAGGAAGACAAATACATGATTTCGCTTATATGTGGAAAGTAAAAAAACAAAAAAAGCCCAGAAACAGACTCAAAAATACAGAAGAAACTGGTGGTTGCCAGAGGAGAGAGGGGTGGGGGGATGGGTGAAATAGGTAAAGGGGGTTAAGAGGTACAAAACTTCCAGCTATAAATAAATCACAGGGATGAAAGTACAGTATAGGGAATACAGTCAATAATTTAATAACTGTCTATGCTGACACATGGTAGCTGTACTTACTGTGGTGAGCATTTCATAATCTATATAATTTTCAAATCACTATGTTTACACCTGAAACTAATATAAGATTGTATGTCAATTATACTTCAATTAAAATTAAAAATAAAAAAATTTTTAAATATTTTTTCTTTGTTTTTAGTTTTTAGACATTATTTATTTTTTTAAAGATTTTTATTTATTTAACAGAGAGCACAAGTAGGCAGAGAGGCAGACAGAGGGAGAGGGAGAAGCAGGCTCTCTGCCAAGCAGGGAGCCCGATGCGGGGCTTGATCCCGGACCCTGGGATCATGATCCGAGCCGAAGGCAGCCGCTTAACCGACTGAGCCACCCAGGCACCCCAGTTTTTAGGCATTTAATTATGATGGTTCTTAATGTAGATTTCTTTTTGTTTCAAGTTTTTATATAAATTCTAGTTAACATATTGTATAATGTTGGTTTCAGGAGTAGAATTTAGTGATTGATCACTTTCATGTAATACCCAGTGCTCATCATAACAAGTGCCCTTCTTAATCCCCATCACCCATTTAGCCCTTCCCCCAACCACCTCCTCTCTAGCAACCCTGTTTGTTCTCTATAGTTGAGTCTCGTATGGTTTGCCTCCCTCTCTTCTTTTTTCTTCCTTCCTCTATTTTCATCTGTTTTGTTTCTTGAATTCCACATGAGTGAAATCATATGGTATTTGTCTTTCTCTAATTTATTTCGCTTAGCATAGTACACTCTAGCTCCATCCACATCATTGCAAATGGCAAGATTGTTCATTGTTTTTGATGGCTGAGTAATATTCCGTTGTGTGGGTGTGCATATATATATGTGTGTATTATATATATATATACACACACACACCACATCTTACTCCATTCATCAGTTGATGGATGTTTGGGCTCTGTCCATAATTTAGCTATTTGATAATGCTGCTATAAACATTGGGGTGCATGTGTTCTTTCAAATCAGTATTTTTGTATCCTTTGGGTAAAATACCTAGTAGTGTAATTGCTAGGTCGTGTTAGGTTAACCCCCGTGATGAGGGGTGAAGAAGAGAGAGAGAGAGAGACGACAGCTCTATGGCAAACTCAGATGTTATTGTGGCAACAGAAACCTGCAGAGGGCATCAGCAGCTAAGGCTGGAGCCCGTATTGCTTAAAGGCTTAGGGGTAGTTTTTTTTTTTTAAAAGATTTTATTTATGGGGCGCCTGGGTGGCTCAGATGGTTAAGCGTCTGCCTTCGGCTCAGGTCATGATCCCAGGGTCCTGGGATCGAGTCCCACATCGGGCTCCCGGCTCAGCGGGGAGCCTGCTTCTCCCTCTGACCCTTGCCCCTCTCATGCTGTTTCTCTCTCGCTCTCTAAAAAATGAATAAAATCTTTAAAAAAAAAAAAAGATTTTATTTATTTGACAGAGAGAGACACAGCGAGAGAGGGAACACAAGCAGGGGGAGTGGGAGAGGGAGAAGCAGGCTTCCCGCTGAGCAGGGTGCCCGATGTGGGGTCGATTCCAGGACCCTGGGATCATGACCTGAGCCGAA